AGAGAGAGAGAGAGAGAGAGAGAGAGAGAGAGAGAGAGCGAGAGATCACCTTTGCCTTTCTCACTCTGGATAAGGGTATAGGCCACGAACAAACACTTTCCACCGTTCTCTATCTTGGGATAGCCTCTTGATGTTATTCCATGTCTACACACTTTTCTATACATCGATTTCCTGGTGGTGCAAAATCCCCTGTGTCTCCTTAAATTGAAAAATGTATAGTTGAGTTTGTTTGTGTTTTGTAACTTTCAGTTTTTTTTACAGAGTTGGGTAATTAGTTCTCCGCAAACAGGCACTTTTCGGGATACCAGACCCACGCCCTTTTAGTCGCCTCTTTTGACACGCAGTATCACGGCAGGTGTTATTCTTTGCTCCCCCATAATAAAACTAGGAGGACCCCCCCCCCCCTTGCAGGGGCGTGAGTATGTGTAACAGTTTCATGTCCAAATTTGCATGACTGAGATCTTTTAGGAGGGACCATCCACTCTCCAGAATTGCGTAACGCCCTCGTCTTTGGTCTAAGTGTCCTCAGCGCTGTTGTTTACATGGACAGTCAGGTGGAACTTACAAAGAGATCAGTAAGGGGCTCACCTGGTCTAGAGGTTACGGTATTCGGCTCTCATTCAATATGTCAAGGGTTCGAAACCTGACAGCAACAGAAAATCTTCTTTTTTATAATGTATTCCTTTCACCTCCGTTCCTATTCGCTAACCATGTTTTTTCGTTTGCTTGCGTCTCCACTTTCTGCTCCACCCTCCCCTTTGTCCCCTCCTCTGAGATTCTGACTCTTTCAGCAGCCTTTCTACACCTACTCCGTGGCTCCTTCTTACTGCTGTCTATCAGCCACACCCCTGATTTTATTGTAGGAAATATCTAACACCTAACCTTCTGGGTTAAGGGCGAAAAATCTCGGAGGTCCCATGAGCAAGTTGCGCACATTAAAGATCCCTTGATGGCCCCAAAATCGATAAAAGTAGGCTTCGACGACAACTCGGGCAAAATTCAAAATTCCTACCAAACTGAAAATATTTAATGTGTCCCTTGCGCTCACATTACCGTGTGTAGGTGTGGGGGCTATAAGACACTTACATAAAAGAGAGAGAGAGAGAGAGAGAGAGAGAGAGAGAGAGAGAGAGAGAGAGAGAGAGAGAGAGAGAGAGATCAGTAGATCGTGGTCCATTGGGTGGCAGTTACGATAGACCGCTGTAGCGCGGTAGACCTTCAACTAAACCGGCACAGGCACCTGCTTTTCTTTAAATGATTCATTCATTTAGTAATTAATTCTATATTCATTCATTCCCTCCTTCAGTTGGTATCTCACTGTGTCCAGTTTCTGCTGTGCATAGTGGTTAGACGCATCGTCGTCGCACGCATAAGATCTGAGTTCGGTTCCCAGGGGAGGATAATTCTTATCGAGCATCTCGACTATCTTCTTTCTGCTGGAACGGTGGAATCCCTCTCAACCCGAGCTGACTGTAACAGGCAGGGTGTAATCTAAGCAGCCCGCCTCCTAAAGGATACAAATTGTGTTGATGGGGGCGTAAAGCATCTACATTAAAAAGAAGTACTTTATGTATCTCATTGTTTATTCCTTCACTTTCTCGTTCATTTTAACTCAGCGTTTATTGCCAATTTCTCATATTCATTTTGTTATTATATTTCGCAGTGTCAACACTTTGGACAGTGGTCAACACAGTCGTGCCTGTATAAGGAGAGCGACAAGCTGTCGCAGATACTCGGGTGCCAAGACAAGGTGCAATTGTAGTAGTAGTAGTAGTAGTAGTAGTAGTAGTAGTAGTAGTAGTAGTAGTAGT